TATGTAGTCTGTCTGCTATGATGTCTGTCAATTATGTAGTCTGTCTGTTATGATGACTGTCAATTATGTAGTCTGTCTGCTATGATGTCTGTCAATTATGTAGTCTGTCTGCTATGATGTCTGTCAATTATGTAGTCTGTCTGCTATGATGCCTGTCAATTATGTAGTCTGTCTGCTATGATGTCTGTCTGCTATGATGTCTGTCTGTTCTGTAGTCTGTCAATTATGAAGTCTGTCTGTTATGATGTCTGTCTGTTCTGTAGCCTATCTGTTCTGTCATCTAATCTAACGTAGTCTGTGTGTTATAGTGTCTGTCAATTATATAGTCTGTCTGCTATGATGTCTGTCTGTTCTGTCGTCTTCCAATTAAGTAGTCTGTCTGCTATGATGTCTGTCTGTTCTGTAGTCTGCCAATTATGAAGTCTGTCTGTTATGATGTCTGTCTGTTCTGTAGTCTGCCAATTATGTAGTCTGTCTGCTATGATGTCTGTCTGTTCTGTCGTCTGATCTACCGCGTGTTGTCCCCACAGCCACAGGCGGTGTCGGTAGACCCAGTCTCGATATCGTCGGGCTCACCGTCATCCTGTGTGTCGGACTGCTCCTCGGGAGACTGTGATCCTACTGTGTGTGAGTATTGGTTGGCGGGTGCTCTGTTGTGGTTTGCTCCTTCTTTCCTATCAAACATCTATCGCCCTGATGTTTCCTCCTTCTTTTTTCTGTTTGTTACTCTCTTGTAACACCTCTAATCTTTGGCACTTGTATGACCTTATTGTGTTTCAAGTGCCGTAAAACTTTTACTAAAACTGAAGACCTATGTTTGGTGCTCGCTTTTCATTTAAATAGAACCCGGGTTCGAATCCTGACAGAGACGGAAAAGTTTTTTTTCTTTTAAAGCCACCATTTTCTCCTTTCACTCTCCCTACTCAGACTCATGTTCTGTCGTCTGCTTTCGTCTCCACTTTCTACTTTAAAATTCAAATTTTAGATTTGTAGGAAGCTTACTTACTTACTTCATCAGTGACAGAGTACTTACTTACTTACTTCATCAGTGACAGAGTACTTACTTACTTACTTCATCAGTGACAGAGTACTTACTTACTTCATCAGTGACAGAGTACTTACTTACTTCATCACTGACAGAGTACTTACTTACTTACTTCATCAGTGACAGAGTACTTACT